AGCTAAGGGCTATGACACCATCCTTGTGGTTGTGGATCGCTTAACTAAGTATAGCCACTTCATTTTACTATCCCATCCCTTTAATGCCAAGGAAGTGGCTGACATATTTGTGAAAGAGGTAGTCAAACTCCACGGGTTTCCCCAATCCATTGTTTCTGACAGAGATAGAGTGTTTATGAGCCAATTTTGGTAAGAGTTGTTCAAGGCAGCGGGCACCACTCTGAAATTCAGTTATCTAATATCTCACTAGGCAAGTATTCACTAAGTATCTTATAGAGAGAATCTAGAGAATTGCTAGCTTATAAAAAAGTGTTCGTCTAAATTTTTTATCCTTAATCCAGTTATAATATACTCTTACACAATGACTATTTCTCATATATATCAATCCACATTAAAATTCTTCACTAAGACAGTGTGTGTAATCCTTTTGCTAGCTTGAAGTCTCCTGACCACTACAATCTAATACCTGCAAAATAAAGAAAGCAACAGGGTGAGCTATAAATGCTTAGTAAGTAAACCAAATCTAACTATGCTCTTACTCTGCTATCCCCATTTTCACTGTATTGTTTCTAAATTTCTGCTTGCTTTCTCTTTTTATTCTCAGGCGTACTACTTAGCAGTCTTCTATTTTCCTCAAATCTTTCTAAATCCTTCTAGTGCTGTGCTATTTTTTATCATTTTATTTCTTTTCTCTACTAGATTATAACTTTTTGTTTCTTTCTCTACTCAACAAATCGCTAAGTTTCCTTGCTATTTGTCATGTTTCTATTTTTTGTTATTTTCTAGCATGTATCTAATTTTTGTCCTTTTCTTGTATATCTCTAATTTCTTTTCTATTCTCATAGGCATCTATTTTCTTTTATTCTCTATTCTCATGGGCATCTATTTTCTTTTCTTCTCTATTCTCATGAACTTCTATTTTCTTTTCTTCTCTATTCTCATGGGCATCTATTTTCTTTTCTTCTCTATTCTCATGAGCTTCTATTTTCTTTTCTTCTCTATTCTCATGGGCATCTATTTTCTTTTCTTCTCTATTCTCATGAGCTTCTATTTTCTTTTCTTCTCTATTCTCATGGGCATCTGTTTTCTTTTCTTCTCTATTCTCATGAGTTTCTATTTTATTTTCTTGACTAGTCAGACATGCAATAATAAAATAAACTGTTTAATCTATGCATAAATGCATAAGATGCAATGCACATAAAATGTCTGATGCATATGCAAATGATCATGTTTGTATTCTTTCTGAAAATTCTTTTCTAATTCTTTTCCTTTCTTTCTGAAAGTCTTTCTATTTTCTATTTCTTATTCTATTTTTCTTTCTTTCTGAAATTCTTTCTGTATTCTGTTCTGGTTTACCGATCGGACTAGGCTGAGACATGGATTTAGAACCTTGGCCGTGTGAGCGTATTCTAAAATTCTTTCTGGGTATAGTCCTCATCCACATGCACTTCTAGCGGACTGTATAATTCTATTTTCTATTATGAGGCCGCTCATTGACGGCGGTGTGCATGTGGGAAACTTTTGCATCTCTGTTGCCACTAGCTAACGCAGAAAATGCTCACAGGTTCCCCATCACAACAGCCCTCTGAAAACATGATCTATAAATTTGCAAAATAACTAGCTAGACACTTCCAATAATTATAAAATTTCTAAAATATATGCTATGCTATGTCATGCATTTATATGCTGTCTATGCATGATCCCAAAATACGTGTTTGACTTTGGCATGTATTTTATTAATTCTAAGGCTTTTATTTCTATACTTTTTTGGAAAGCCCAAAGTTCTATTCTACTAACATGCTTAAATTAAACATTTTCTATTTTATTCTTGATTTCTGAATTCTATACATCATGTGTACGTACGCGATTCTATAATTTCTACATAATTATGTAATTCTTCAATTCTATCATACTATGTAAAATGTACACGTACACAAGTACATTAACTCTCACAAATTCTACTCTCTAATATTTTTTAATGTAACAAACATGCCTTGTACAACTTTCTAAATACAAATCTTAATGCCATAAATTTTTATTCTCTTAACATGACCATCAACATTGTTATATATGCCCTTCTTTCTTCTTTTCTTTTGGCTACATTCTATACATTAATCTATATTGCCATATTAATCATTGTAAATCCAATCTAACATATGACACAACATATATACTTTGGCTAAATTCTATTTTCTTTCTAACATTCTTAACTAAAACTTTTGGCCAATACAACATATCTCAAGATCTTCTAGCACAATTCTATAGCTTGTAATATATAATAAGGCATGAAAATTATACTCATACCAATCAATTTCTAAAATGGTTATGTATTTAATACATAAACTAAACTTCTATTTCTTTGATGTTTCTTTGATATTTATACTTGGGAAAGCTTTTCTATTCTTTATACAATAAAATCACTTATTACATATTATTTATAACTAATCCCAAAACAAGAAACAACAATATACTCATTTGGCCAAGCCATTCTTTGAATGATCTTTCTAATTTCAAACATACAAGCTTGACAATTTATGGTGGCATATTGTAATGTTATAATATAAGCACCCATCTTTTACTATCATCAAATACTACACTGTTGTAACAATTTAATATGCAATTCTTGCCATCATTTTTCTAAAGTCATAAGTTTCAAAACTCATAATTCAATGACTAAATACAATATGTCACTCAAACTAATGCTAAAAGTTCAAGCAACTTGAACCATGCACTAAAAACCATTCCTTTCATTGAACTAACATAACCAAGTGTTATTCTAAATTTTGGCATAACAAAATGCACTCTTGAATATTAAAACTTACACTTGGTTAAGCCTAACATAACCTTTCAACTCCAATTCTTTCCTTTCTCAAACATTTTCTTCAACAAGATTTAACAAACTCATGCATGCATTTCTCTTTGAATTTTCATCAAACAATTCACATGCATATGCAAATACTTGGTTGGCCATACTTCCACATATCTCCAAATCCACCAAAATTGGAGCAAAAACTCACCAAACTTAACTTCAATTCTGGCTGAATTCAACACTTCCAAATTCCAACATCAACACTTCAAAATTTCATCCAAAATTCAACCAAAACATCACATTTACATAACTACTCATCTTGGCTAAACTTTTACACATTATTCTCCATCAAACAAGCATCTAAACAACCAATACTTCTTATTATACATCATACACAAACACTTAAGAATCAACTTACACGTATACTACTCAAAGTAAAGCTTAGATTGGGTTTACTTACCTTGAATTTGCACAACACTAATTATTCAACCTTCCTTTGCTAAAATTCTCTTCTTGTTGGACCTAAATCATGGAAAAACATAAGAATTCAAAACTTTAAAACTTAAATACACACTTTTGTGCTAGAATCTTACCTTTAGATACTTTAGGATTGAAATCTACAAAAATTTAAGCTAAACCCTATGAATTCTCTTTGAAATTTGATGAAGAAGCTTGAGAGAAAATGGATGAGAGGTGGCGTGCCCAAGGGTGAGTGAAAAGACCATTATACCCTTATTCTTTAATTTCTTTCTATTACTTTACAAACACGTATTTATCTCGGTATCACATCACGTGTATTATCCATAACCTTTCTACCACTTTATTCTCATGGCTAGCACACTTAATAAATTATATTTATCATACTCACTTTTCACTTGAACACGTGATTCTATGTGAAATGACCATTTTGCCCCTATCGAAACTTTTATGGAATTTCACTATAAAACTAGTTAAATATATTCACTATGACTATAGAATAATCCCTACCATATTTTTTAATGTGGGTATTACAAGTTCGGCATATCACCCTCAAACTGATGGCCAAACTGAGGTCGTCAACCGTTGTATCGAGACTTACCTCCGCTGTTTCTGTAGCTCACAACCACGACAGTGGCCGAGATGGCTCCCGTGGGCAGAATTTTGGTTTAACACCATTTACCATAACTCCAGGAGGATGACTCCCTTCCTAGCTCTCTACAAGAGGGATCCTCCCACCCTTCTAAAATTCACCGATAGCCCCTCCCCGGTGGAAGATGTTAACAGGCAGTTGATGGAAAGAAACGCCATCCTTAAGGAACTCAATGAGAACTTGCAACTTGCTCAAGGGCACATGAAGGCGAATGTCGATGCCCATCGCCGTGATCTCAATTTCCAAGTTAGTGATTCTGTCGACCTTAAGCTCCAACCTTATAAATTTAAATCACTGGCCACCAAACTCAATGAGAAGCTCAGCCCCTGCTTCTATGGCCCCTTTGTGATACTTGAGAGGATTGGTCCTGTCGCATATAAGTTGAACCTACCTGTCACAGCTCGTATCCACCCTGTTTTCCATGTCTCATAGCTTAAAAAGAGTCTCCATAGTTCGGTACCCACTCAGCCTCTACCTCCCTTCCTCACAGAGGACTTGGAGCTCCTAGTTCAACCTGAAGCTGTCCTCTCTTCTCGCACTCTTTTGGATGGGTCTAAGGAAGTCTTAATTAAGTGGCAGGATCTGCCACTTTTTGAAGCCACCTGGAATCCTATGCAGTCATTGATCAGCAGTTTCTGCACTTCCACCTTAGGCCACCCATTATTAAGAATTATCACAGGCAAGGCAGAGGGACGTTGGGTGTGAATAAAGGGAAGGGGAGTTAGTTAAGGGGACTGTATACGTGTCCTTAGTTGATTGGGGCTTTATTGAGAATCAATGGGAATATAAGGGAAGAGTCTTAAGACGTGAGTATGGTTCGTTTGTTAAGGGAATAATACTGGGAGGTCTCTAGCTCCTCGAAGTGCTAGAATTCTGTTATGCATTTATCAGTCACTCTTTTCTATATTTCAGTTTATGTACTTCTCTGATAATTCAGTATATGTACTTCATTGATTATCAATATAATTCTCTGGAATATTTCATGTCTGTGGTGTGCGTGTGTTGGTTGCCAAACAGTGAGTTGAGAGGGGTCTGTATCACAATCTTCGTAAAATTGTCACTAAAGAATTAAGCCAAAGACATGAATCTACTAAGAACTGGATGATATTACCTTCTCGCAATTCTTAATAAACACAGTTGACAATGTAGCGTGGCACGAAAAAAAATTCTACTTCAAGAATTCTAGCATTAACTATGAAAACCATCAAGCACAAACAAACATCAGTAACTTATACTTTTCTTAAGAATTTATATTTACTTGTAGCGGATCATCGGAGAAGGAGCGAAGCAAATTAAAGCCTTTTTATGATTTTAGAAAACAGTTAACCTCCCAAGTTTGAGGTTTAATTTTCCATCTTCTATAGCTTTTAGTGCAAACAATCCGAGAGTGACTGCAAATTTTCCTCCATAAGACTCTGCCACAATGTACAGAGGACTTTTGAAGTTTCTCATTTTCATTAAAAAGCTCCTCCAACAATGCAGTTAAATCAGTTGCGGCCTCAACATTAGTTTTCACAAACAATTTTGAATCTGAATCCTCCACATAACTGTATTCCGTTCCCATGGGATTATCCTGAATCACACCAAAACAACATTTTAAATAAATTCTTTTTGCAAAATTTAATCCTCCTTTACTCCAAATTAAACAGAGTTTTAGTCATGGCCAACTCACCACAGACAGGAGATCAGCTTTTCTCAACCATGTCGAATTCCTGCTCTTCAAATAATTGTCCAATGGTCCAACCTCCTCAAAATTCCCAATCCCAACGCCTGAAGCACCCTGTACAAATGAATTATATAAGAAACAAAGAATATTCAGATATTGTTATAGAATGAAAAGAATCCAAAACTTTATTGCCTAAACAACAACTGAACTTTCTTTTTCTGCTGTTCTCAAATCTCAAACTAAGTAATTCTAATTTCACACTTCATCTTCTAAACAATACTCACAGGTCCACCTTGCAACCAGAGAATGATTAGCCATGGCTTAGAGGGATTTTCAACCCTATATGGACTTCTGCATAGCCACCAAAACATGTGTGCTTCTGCGCAACAAAAGTCATTTTTCATTTCAGTTTTGGTTTCAGAAATCAATCATTTAACAATTTCTATTGGCAAAGAAACATGAAATGAATGAAAAACACATAATTATTGTGAAAATAGATTGGCATACTTGGTCTGCTTCAACATATCCCCACTCTTCTGATCCATCCTGGGTTCTTCTCAAAGCTCTGGCATTTCCTCCATGAAAGAGAAGAGAGAAAAAGAGGAGGAACACAACAGAAAACCCAAAAAAAATAATTCAAAAATACCAAAATCCACCGTAGCATTCACAAAATAACATTGAACATAAGAAATAATCAGTAAATACACTTTACAACATACCCATGCCGATCTCTAGCCTTCCCTCCTCCATATCATTACTGTTTTTTCTCCATTCCCATTTCCAAGCTGTCAAAGAATTAAAAAAAAAAAAAAAAAAAAACCAACAAAATCATCATAACCGCTAACAAAAAATGCAGCATTACAATTTAGGCCAACATATTCATTAAACAGCTTACAAATTCCAACCATTGCTCTATTAAACAGCTTAATTTAATAAAACTACAGAATTAACCCAAACATGACTCTAATCAGAGGATTCAAACTCAAAAAGCAAAAACATTTCCGCTCCGAGATAGCTGAGAAAACATTTCGATCGACTCTTATTACAATTGTCTCAACTAAAATAAACTACAAAAACTGATGATAATTCATTAAAAGCAATCCTAAAAATTAAACTTCCAGTTCTTTTTCCAATCCTCCAGCGGTTTCTCAGCAACCAAGCACCACTCAAACTCAAGAATTCAAAATTAAGAAAATAGAGACAAAAAATAAATAGAAGTAAGGGTAAACTAAGAGTCGATCAGTTGAAGGATATAACGAACTTACTGTAGACGTAAAAATCTACCTGTACGAAAAAGGGGGTCTGATCCCGCAAGGTCAAGGCCACTAGCGATCTGCTGCACCTGCACACGTAGAGAAACACACGCGTGAAGCGAACGGGAAACACCGGGGTGGTGTTTGCCGTAGGCACTCCGACGCTCAAGTCAGTAAGGCTGAAAGGGGCTAATTTAGTGAGGGCTAAGGAATAAGGGATTACCGGAAGTCTAGTCGGGGACTGTGACTACGGCGAATTGGGGAAACTCTTGAGTGAAGAGTCTCGGGTGTGAGGGTGTAATGTCGATCTCCCGTGTGAGAGGGCTGGCCTCTGTTTATATAGTGATCGTCTGGTCTCCCAATCTTGGTAGAAGTAGGAGTCCTAGTACGACTCTGATGCAAACCCTAGAAGAATTAGGGTTGTGGTAAGCTGTCTTACCAGTGTCCGTATAGGAAGGTGATTCTGATTAGGAGAGTAACTCCGAGTAGGAAAGTGATCAGGAATAGGAAGGTATTCTGAGGGGGTTGTGGGCTTTGGATTTGTCCATGGACCTAGGACATGGGCCAGGTTTGAGAGGCTTGTGCCCGCTCAGTTTGGGCCGGTTTGTTCCTCATGTTGAAGAGAACTACGGCTTGGGCCTTTGCAGGACTGGGCTTGGTCCTTCTTCACTAATGGTCCTTTTTCCCTATTTGGGCCAAGGACGATTTTTGGCCCTAACACTTACGTATAGATTCAACAACAGTTGGTGATTAGTTAAATCAAATGAAATGAAATTATACACAGAATTAATAAAATTAAATAAGAATTTGAGGAATGGATCTAAAAGGGCGTACCTTTTTGTATGCCGACTCCCTGTCTCTATCTTTTTCGCGGCAGAGATTTCGGCAGCGACGACGACGGTAGGATGAAGATGACGTGTCAGAGGATGACGAAACTGAGGAGTACGAAGACACAGATGGTGAAGCTGAGAAAAAAAAGCAAAGAGAAATTGAGAAAACTTATGGCTCTCTGATTCAGTATGTCTGGTTCTTCTTGAAATGGGGCAAAGGCTCCTCTAATGCTTTGCGAACAAAGAAGAAATGAAATTTTGGAGACCGGAAGAGTTTTAATTTACGCGAATACGGAGAGGAGAGGCGGTGTTCGTTGATGAGTGGCGGTGGTACCGAGCATGGTTATTAGCCTACGATACCTGATACGTATTATACGATACGATTCGATACAGATCGCCAACGATACGTATCAGAGAGTGTATCCTAAATCATTCGATACGTTAATATATATCTTACAATACGATACGTATCCGTTCATATCCTTAAAAATATCGATATAAATTGATACGATTTTATTAATTTGGGTTAAATATCCAAAAAACATTCGGGTCAAAACCGGGTCACCCAATCCGATTCACTAAAACCTATCCAAATTTACTTATTTTGCATAGAGAAAGTGAAGAGGAATATGTATTGTCCATTTTACATGATAATAATAATATAAGTGGAGATATAGATATAGACATTGATCTTGGAATTTTGTGATTAATTTTAATTATATAATACCGTAATTTAAAGTTAATAATACCACAAAATTCTTTAATTAATCTTGGAAATTATATTAATTTTTTGAAAATTTTGATTATTTTATTAATTTTTTTTGAAAAAGACGTATCTTACGATACGATACGATACACGATACACAATTCAAAAAATTAGGTTTTTGATACATAATACGATACATGATTTGATAACCATGGTACCGAGTGATGTTGAATGAAATTAAAGAGGTATACATTTCACCTATGTAATTATTAATAGCCATCTTCACCATAATGCATTTGTATACTTTATTATTAAATCACGTAAATGTTTAAACTTATGAATGTTAGTGTGCTGCACTTATATAATTATTATTATAATATGATCAGTTAAATCCATTGAGTGAGTTTAATCTTACAGATGTGATAGAGAATAATGTAATGATATGAATTTTGGAATAGTATATTAATATCGCGGTAATCTTAATCAAGAAACGATTGGATTAATATGAATGTTTGGAATAACAACGTAGTGCATTAATATCTCATTAAATTGGAATAACAACGTAGTCATTAATATCTCATTAAATAACTCATCTAACGTGACAAGAGAGAATAATTCTAAAACTCCAAAATAAAACAATTTTAGAACTAAAAAAAAGGTGTCATATGTATTTTTACCTTTAGATTTGGAATGCCAATATAGCAATTAATATCTCTCCACGTCATTATCAATAAAATTGAATTATATAATAACCACAAATCCTATCTGTTAAAATGAAACAATTTTATGAGTTTCAAAATGTGTGACCTATCTATCAATCTTCATGGGTATTCAGCTTTATATATATATATATATTTTTTTTATTTTTTTATTGACCCTTATATATAATAAAAATATTCTTAAATCATTAAAAATTATTTTTATTATTAGTTAGAAAATTTTTATCAAATTGTTTTATACCATTTATTTTTATACCTAAAATTTAATTACAGAAAAAAATTTGTTATTTTGTGGATCCAAATCCTAAATTTTAAAATATTAAATAACTTATTATTATTTTTATTTATGTATGTAAAAACTCAATTTCAGAAGTTAATCGTAGAACTTGAATTTTATTTGAGTAATGTTATGTATTAATTTGTATATCGAATAACGTGATAAATTTCTAATAATTAATTATATTAATTTAAAATTAATCAACGGTCTGAATTTTATCAAGTCATTTGATCATAAATTCGATATACTACTATCGTTATTGCAATTCAGAGGAGCATGTCGTGCAATGTCTCTCCTATTTCAAGATCTCTCGCCAATTTTTTCAAAATTTCAAATCTTTCTTCAATTTCCTTCTATGTATTCACATTACAGATTTTGATGCATTAGATTCAGTGATGGGGCGCCATTCAGCTGCAGCAGGCGGCGGAGGAGCTAAGGCCACGTCACCAGCTCGATGGTTTTGCTATTTTTTATGGTGATTTTAGGGTTTGCTTTAATCGCTGATTTCTTCTGGGCTTCTTCTTCACGTTTCACTTCTTCTTACTTCAATGTCGACTCCAAGTGGAACTCTCATTACCCCCTTGTTGTCTCCAGCCAACCACAGAAACCACAAAGGTGAGCTTAACACTTCATTGCTGCTTTAACTAACTGTTTACGTTGGGTTCGTTTTTATCTATATGTACATCACGTTGTTGATAAGGTAACTTTGATGGGTGTGTTTTGATTTGTGCAATTGAGTTTCTGAAGGTTACGAAGAAGTAAGAGCTTAATTGTACTGAAGAGGTTGATCATCACATTTTTTTTTTTTTTTTTTTTTTTTTTTTTTTTAATGATTACGTTAGTTCTAAGCTAATGTGATGTTTGTTGCAGAAGTTTTGATGGGAATGATTTGATTTATGCAATGGATTCGGAAAAAGTTCAAAGAAGTGTGAGAATAATTGTATGACAGGGTTTGATAATTAGGATTTATTTATTTTTGTTGATTTTATTGTTGCTAAGCTAATTGTAAATTCGTGATGTTGTTGTGGAAATTTTATGGGTATGTAAGTTACAAAGAAGAGATTAATGATTGGGGATCTCTGTTTTCTCAATTACAGTTAAACTAGTTTGTATGTAAAATCTAGATCGAAATTAAAAATAGAATGCACAGGAAAACAGTGAAATCTAGGTTAATTAGGTTGGTAGTTTAAGTATATCTGGAGTTTAGGTTTTATTGAATGATTTACTGTTAATTTAGTATTTCTATGAAAAATTATACCATTTTGCATTTTTTCATGTAATTTTTGTTGTGTCCATCTTGTGTTCCTGATAAGCTCCACTGCACTTGATTGTTGTGCCAAAAGAAGGCCTGATAGAAAATACGAGTAATTAGAATTCTGTTTGGTTAGTTAAGATCAGAAAACTCTAAAATTAAAAATCAGTTGAATATTGTGAATTTTTATATGCTTCATTTGATTACTTAAAAAAAGTACCAAAATCAATGATTTGGTCTAAATTTATGCTACACAGAATGATGGTTCAGTAACCCCAAAAATTAAAGTTTGATTTGATTTTTTTTTGGGCGTAAACTTAATCCTTAGCTGGTTTGTCCTTACAAATAATAATTTAACAGAGTGTTTGATTTGTCTCACATCTTAGTAAATCAAAACTTTCCCTCTATTTTTGAGTTTTAGAAGCACATACGTGGTTGTGAGGAAATCTCAGGAGAACAGAAATTGAAGTTTAATGTGTGACCATGGGACTGCATGATTTGAAATCAAAATAGCAAGTCCTGTTAAGAATTGTTTAGTTCATTGATTGGTTTAGCCAGTTTCAGTAAATAAAATGCTCGCTTCGTGATTTTTATGTTTAATGTTTTAGATCTGTGAATTAATGACACCATGCATTATTTGAAGGGAACCCGGGTAAACCTAAAAAGAGATGTTTTTCCTGAGAGGTTCTTATCAGCAACATTTCAAGTTTACCTGCACCAAATTTAACATGGGAGAGATGGCCTCAGCACCGGTGCCTCGTCAGATGGCGCTGCAATACAGATTACGATCTTCTATATGTGTTTGCTGATATGGCACCATTGATTATGTAAAACCTTTTTTAGCTCCTATTGCTAATTTCTATTGCTTGTACTGGTTCTATTTCTCTTTTAATAAATTTCCTAAAGAGTCAAACAATTTTCAAGGAAGCTACTCAACAAGCTTAATGTTCGTTGCTGCTGCCCCTATATATTTTAATTTTTGCCAATTAGTAGCTTTTGAGCCCTCTCATTTTTTAGTTTCTGGCATATTTATTACCTTCAGATATTTGTTATTCAATATGCAACATTGTTCTTCTAGGAATCTGCTGCTCTAAAAAAAACTTAACCTTCAAATATTCCAATCCTTTGGACTTCTTATATTGGAGTGGCTAGGTGGGGACAAGACTAATTTTTCAATCTATAGGGGGCGACTTCTTTATTATTAATCAATCAAGTTTCAGTCCATGAGGCCTTTCCTAAACTTGTGTTGGCATCACATGTTACTTAAATACTTGTCATGAGTAATGACACATCAGCATAAACTTGGATTGCGGGCCTAATCTAACAATTCCTCCTTGAGCTTAGGGTTGTTCATGCTACTGTTATTTTTTTCCCTCCCTTAATCTTTTGCAAAATGTTTGCTTGTCAATGAAAGCCTTAAATTTACTGTTTTTATTTTTTTATTTTTTTTTCTTGTTTTTATAGAGCCTTCTTTTATATGTTTGAGCTGATACTATGGTAGGTGTTACTATTTTCTATTCATAGGTACATTCTCATGTTGATATCTACAATTTCACGGATAATACATGGGGAGGAAGATTTGATATGCCTAAAGAAATGGCTCATTCACATTTAGGAATGGTAACAGATGGGAGATATATTTATGTAGTTACTGGACAATATGGTCCACAATGTAGAGGGCCTACAGCCCATACATTGGTTCTTGATACTGAGACGAAGCAATGGCGGGACATGCCACCTTTACCAGTTCCTAGGTATGTGCCCTGTATCAATATTCTTACCCTTGAAAATGTGTATTGGGCTTGCATAGGAGATCTCTATCTCTCATTCTGTGCACAAGAAACAGCTCAATATTATCTGATCTTCCATCATATGGAATTTTTGCTACACTAACACATAATTATTGTAAAGAATTTACTTAAATTCTACATGTTTGGTTTGTGCCGTTTTAATACTGTGTCTTATTAAAAGAAATGCTTAATTTAAGCTCTCTATATGTTTTAAGTGCACTTTGTATAAAAGGAAGATTTTAAAATTTGAACATCTTTGTTTAAAGTACTGATGCTTACATTATCACATGTGATATTTACGTAAAATATATGGATGACTTAGCTTTTGTGAACTTTATACATTCTGAAAGGATACTAAGACTTGGGTTGAGGTTGTTATCTTTTCTGTTATCCTGTGTTTCTTTTGAGTGCATATAGACCTTCTAGAATCATGATTTGAACTTATACAAAAAAAATCTAATTTTTTTTTGTTTGTATTTGAGTTTCAAATAGGTTTTACTTTTTCTTTTCTTTTTGTTGTTGTTTCTGTTTCGATAGAAATGATGGCGAAGCATGTAGAGGGCTAGCCTGGGCTAGTGGTAGCAAATAAAATTGATCAAGTTATCACAACATTAACCTTATACTATCATTTACTACTACCAAAAATAAAATGTCATCACAAAACCGGTTACATGCCTATCTCCTTTTTCACATTAGACATTGCCTCTTCTCCATCCCTTCTGAACTCTAAACTTTTACCAATCAAGCAAAAAATGCTCGAATTTTAGAATTAAATTTGTTGATTTTTCATCATACTCCTTTCTAGAAAGATTGAAAAAGCTTCCATTTTTTAGGTAATTTCAGTATCAAGTTATTATTAATTAAGTAACTCAGTGCTTAGTTTTCTTTATTAATAAAAGTGCACCGTGTTGTCGATGCTGGCTTGAGAAAAGTCTATAATTTGACAAATGTTTTCTTAGAAAACAAAAGTTCAACTCAAGTTAAGAAAATTCCTGGCTGTGCTCAATACTAATCCTTACCAAATGCTGTTTTGTCTTGTTTCTAATCTGTATTACCTTTAAAGATTTAATAGTTGTATCATTGGCATTGACAATGCTAGATATGCTCCTCTAAGCATTATTATTCTGCCAATGGTTAGTGATATTGTCTCTCTTTCATATGTGTTGAATACCAATGCAATGCTATGCTTTGGTGCTGTAACTATTAGAGCTGTTTAACCTTATTGATGATGTATATAGTATAATCTTTGTTCTACTGTTAGCACTTTGAATCAGAGGTCTTAACATGATTATTCTCAGGTATGCACCAGCAACTCAACTTTGGAGAGGTAGACTCCATGTGATGGGCGGCAGCAAGGAGAACCGTCATACACCTGCTTTGGAGCACTGGAGCCTTGCAGTTAAGGATGGAAAACCTCTAGAAAAGGAGTGGAGGTCTGAAATTCCCATTCCCCGTGGAGGACCTCATAGGTTTGTTATTGTATTATGTTTTGAATGAATTTTGGCAATTCATTTCTGCTGCACTTTGGTGATCTTTCAAAATCTCATTGACTTTAAGGTGATAAATTTGGAACAAATGTGTTTATACTTTGGTGATCTTTCTTTCAAGAAACTTGGATATTCTTTCATCTTTAGAGTTTGTGCGTATGATTTTTTGTCATAGTTCTATACCGATGCTTTACAGTTTTGTCACATGTTTATGACAACCTCGGAGTTTCTGCTTCAGATACTCTGTCACATGTTTATGACAACCTCGGAGTTTCTGCTTCAAACAGTATCTGACTGAAGTTTTTGTATCCTCAGTATGTAGCAAAGAAATTTGAAATTTTGAGGGTCAGTCATCTAAATGTCCCCTAATGTTCTTTGGAAATTAGTGGTGAATTTGGTCAGAGTCATGAAGTGTTATGTTTTTGTCAATGCTTATCTGTTCAAGTTTGCTTTTTCTGTAGATTGATTCGAGTAGAGACATTTTTGGTCATTATTATTTTTGCAGAGTATGATTCTGAAGTTTTAAAGTTATTTTAGGGATTTTAAATTTGCATAAAATGGGTTGAGTTTCATTAGCGAGATGAAGACAATGAAAACTCTCGAGTACCCATAATCCAAAAGTTTAATTTATTGGAAAGGGCTTAACAATAGTATTTAAACTCTTGAACCTCACATGTATAAGCAGATTTTTAATAATAGACTGATCATGTGGATGCAAATGCACTAATGCGTACATGAATCTAGATTCAAACTCTACTTTCGTTGGCTTGTAATTTAGTTAATGGAATATAGAAAACTCAGGATTTGAACATGAGACCACTCTCTAAATAGGTTCTACTACAGCTTGAATAATGATTAAGTCCAAAGTTTAAATTGATAGGAACTGGTTTGACAATTTATATAACTTCTAACAAAAATTTTGAAGTCTTTGCTAAGATTTGTATTTATATGTTGCTTAGACCTTATGAATATGTCTTTCTGTTGAGCCAAATGAAAGAAGCATTTTTCAAATGGATCTTCCTCTATGTAATCCCACCTTCTTTCTTGTAATAAATATCATTTAGGGCTTGTGTTGTGGTTGATGATCGACTGTTTGTTATTGGTGGTCAAGAAGGTGATTTTATGGCGAAACCTGGATCACCTATTTTCAAGTGCTCTCGCAGGAACGAGGTAAATTGATTAACATACCTTTGTTCAGTTTTTTCTCTTAATTGGCTTTGAGTAGTTTTTATTAATATATGTGGTGAGAGTTCTATACCATTTTATTTTGGCTAGTATAAATTATGCAAACCTCAGGGGGGTTCTTTGTTAGGCAAGCTGTTTACAAGTTACTTCAATTTGTTTTTGCACTCTTGTTTGATGATTGGAGAATGCGTTGCTAGTTATAATGTCCATGCTACTCTAGTTATTCACTTACCTTTCGTGGATTGTCTATGATGCTTGTAAGGTTTAACTACAAGACTGATCAACATTTTAGTAAAGTCTTCTAAAGAAAGACGAAGCTAATGACCTTTTATAGATCCCTTGCACCCGCCACCTTTTTTGTGAATTGATGTGTGATGGAAACCAGTCTCCCAGATTCACATTTAATCACAGATAATGAAAGTAAAGCAAATATTCAACCACAAGCAATACACTAACTGGAATGAAACTGGAATAAGACTGTATTAAGGGAAAATAGATTTGTAACTAACAGAAAATGGAAATAGACCCAGCACTACACTGAACTTCAAGGGCAAGTTCCTCATATACAATTCTCTACTAATTCTCCATGCTCTATCTTACGCTAGTACTCTCCTTTTATTCTCACTCAAGATTCCCTTCTTTTAACAAACTTTGACAATAATTGCCATCTATTGAGCCTTCATTGTGTCATTTGCTTCCTTGCCAATTGTCTTGCCATCTGTCCCGCCTTGTCATGCCTCCCCTTGCCCTTTTTGCCCTTTTTGTTATACCACTTTGTGAGCAGGTGTCCATCATTACCCCCTTTAAGTAGTGCCACCTTGTCCTCAAGGTGGAAGGAAATTAATGACAGATAGTGTCATAAGCTTCCCATGTGTTGTCACAGGTGGGTAAGGTTTTCCATTTAATTAACACTTCATAGCTACCTTCTAACATACATCGCTTTTTGAGGGCTTGCTCGGGCTTGGCTTGGAGTGTCAGATCATGGTTAAGGATATCTAGGAGGGGTTGTGTAGGAATGGGATAAGAGGTGGCTTTCTTGAGCTGGGAAACATGGAAGACGTTATGAATACAGGCTGTAAGGGGAAGATTTAGCCTGTAAGCAATTAGACGCATTTTTTTCGCAACCGTATAGGGATCGTAAAACCTGGGACTAAGCTTCTCATTAACTCTTTATGTCAAGGATTTGAGACGGTAGGCTTGAATTTTTAAATAAACAGAATCCCCCACTGCATAATGAACTTCTCGTTTTTTCCCATAGACGTAATTCTTCATGCTATCTTGAGCCTTAGCCAGGTTGACTTTTAATTCGTCCAAAATGGAGTCTCTGTCAGTTAACTGCCGATCGACATCATCCACAACAGAACTGTGCTCACTGTACTTGAGGATAATTGGCGGATCTTTATCGTATAAGGCATGGAAGGGGGTCATGCCTGAAGAACGGTTGTACGTGGTGTTGAACCAATATTCGGCCCATGCCAGCCAGTTAGGCCAATGTTGTGGTTAGTGTCCCACAAAGCAACGTAAATAGGTCTCCACACATCGATTCACAACTTTGGTTTGCCCATCTGATTGTGGATGGTAGACAGTACTCATGTGGAGCTATGTACCAGATTGTATAAACAATTCTCCCTAAAAGATACCCATGAAGACTCGGTCTCTATTAGAAACTATGGTGCAAAGGAACCCATGTAGTTTAACCACCTTTTTTAGGAACATGGTAGCTACGTTTTTAGCGGTGTAGGGATGCCTCAAGGGAAGGAAATGACTGTATTTAGTGAGGCGATCAACCACTACTAAGATAGTGTCTACCTGATGAGCTCTTGAAAGGCCAATGATAAAGTCCATTGAGATATCTTCTCATACTTGGGTGGGGATATGGGGATAGGTAATGGTTGCAACAGTCCTGTAGGTTGGAGGGCCTTATATTTATTCTGCTGGCAAGTTGGACAAGCTTTCACAAATGTTTGAATGTCCTGTTTCATCCCGTCCCAATAAACCACGTGCTAGTCTTTTGTATGTCCAAAAAAACCCCGAGTGACCCCTTAAGGGGGAGGAATGAAATTCCCATAGCAGTTGCTGAACTTGTGAACTAGATTTCGGAAGGACTAAACGATCATCGAATACAATTGATGGCCAACCAGCCTGAAATGTGGGTGACTTTGAGGATCCGTGATTAAATCTTGATAGATTTTTCGTAGCTTGACATCTTGTCGAATAGCCTCTTCCCACTGATCTCTGTTAGAAAAGTAACATATGGATATGGCGTTGTACTCTGTTGTTTCATCTCGTCTGGACTGGGCATCTGCCGCTTTGTTTTCTAACCCTGGTTTATACAGTATTTCATAATCCAAACCCAATAACTTGATAATCTATTTCTGTTGTTCCTCTCCTTGCAACCTCTGTTCATTCAGATAGTATAGGCTGCGTTGATTAGTCCTAGTGATGAAGTGCCTATCGAATAGATAGTGTCGCCATTTTTGGACAGCCAAAATGATGGCCATTAGTTCCCTTTCATAGACTGACCTCAATCAAGACCGTGTAGAGAGCCCCTGACTAAGGAATGCTAGCGGTTTGCCATCTTGCATTAGCATAGCTCCAATTCCTTGCCCCGACATGTCTGTTTCAACGATAAATGTCTTAGAGAAATTGGGCATTGCTAAGACAGGTATCGTGGTCATGACTCGTTTAAGTTCTTCAAAAACCTTTTGAGATGATTCAGTCCAATGGAAGGCATCCTTGTGGAGGAGATTGGTCAAAGGTAGTGCAATCTTGCCATAAACGTTTACGAATTTTCTGTAATAGCCAATCAGTCCCAGAAATCCACGAAACGCATTGACATCCTTTGAAATTGGCCAATTTAAAATACAATCTACCTTGGAGGGATCAACCGCAATGCCTTGGGCTGAAATGATATGGCCTAAATACTCCAATTAAACTTGAGCAAATTTGCATTTTTTTCTTATTTACCACTAGCTGATGTTTCATCAAGATCTGAAGGGTAATTCGAAGATGCTGTAAATGTGTCTCCAAATCTGAGCTATAGATTAAAATATCGTCGAAGAAGACCAGGATGAACTTCCGTAAATAGGATCTGAAAATGTCATTCATAAGAGCTTGGAAAGTAGATGGAGCATTTGATAATCCGAAGGGCATGATAAGGAATTCGTAGTGCCCCTCGTGAGTTCGAAATGCAGTCTTATGGGTGTCCTCCTCTCTAATCCTTATCTGATGAAACCCGTACTTGAGACCTAATTTCGAGAATATGGTAGCTCCTTCCAGTTCATCAAATAACTCATCTATGGTAGGGATGGGGAACCTATTGGGGATAATGATCTTATTAAGTGCTTGGTAATCCACACAGGAACGCTATCCCCCATACTTTTTCCTTACTAGTAATACTGGACTGGAAAATGGGCTGACACTAGGTTTAATAATTTCGGAAACCATCATCTCCTTTACAATCTTTTCTATCTCATTTTTCTGATAATATGGATATCGATAATGACGAATATTAGGAACTGGTGTACCTGGTTCAAGTCTGATGGCGTGATCATGGGCCCTGGCGAGTGGAAGCCCTGATAGAGGTTCAAACAAGGCATTATGATCCTGCAATGTTTCATTTTCTATATTCCTTGTATTTCAACAGTACAACCTAACTAAAATTTATACATACACTCAGCAATTACATATATACCCTTTACCCTATATATACATAGTTTCCAACACTCCCCTTCAAGCTGGAGCATATATATCTATCATGCCCAGTTTGTTACAAATATATAGGTTACCCTTTTACCAATTAGAGACTTCGTGAAGATGTCAGCAAGTTGTTCCCTTGTTCTAACATGATTAGCAGCAATTAGCTTTTGTTCAACTCTCGTACAAAGTGACAATCCACTTCTATATGCTTAGTCCTCTCCTGAAAGATTGAATTGTTTGCTATATGTATGGTTGCTTGGTTGTCACACCACAAGTCCATAATTCCTGGGTCATCAAACCCAATTTCTCTAAGAAAATGTCTTGTCCATATAAGCTCACACGTAACTTGTGCCATGGCCCGATACTCAGACTCTGCGCTTGACCTAGCTACAATCGGTTGCTTCTTACTTTTCCACTAAATAAGATTTCCTCCAACAAAAACACAAAACCCAGTCACAGATCGTCTATCCACAGAAGATCCTGCCCAATCTGCATCTGAAAAACCTTCTACCTTATTATGACCATGATCACTATAAAGAATCCATGCCCAGGGGCTCCTTGTAGATGCTTCAAAATATGGAGGATCGTATCCCAATGAGATGTCCTAGGAGATGACATAAATTGACTCACCACACTCACTGAAAAAGCAATATTTGGACGAGTTATTGTAAGGTAGTTTTAACTTTCCAACTATCCGTCTGTATCTCTCTAGATCACCAAACATCTCTCCATCCTCAGCCTTCAATCTCACATTAAGAACCATAGGAGTGTCACAAGGCTTAGCTTCACTTAGACCCATTTCAGTCAACATATCTAACACATACTTGCGTTGAGAGAGAAAAATCTCTTTCTTACTCCGAGAAACCTAGACTCCCATAAAATACCTTAAAGTGCTCAAGTCTTTTGTATGAAATTTGGAAGCCAAAAAGTTTTTCAAACTTTGAATGCCAACATCATCACTGCCAGTGATTACAATGTCATCAACATAAACAACCAAAAGAATGATGCTAAAACTAGATTGCTTATAAAAGACAGAATGATCATAAGCACTCCTATGTAAACCAAATTGAGTCACCACTTCGCTAAACCTTCCAAACGACGCCCGTGGAGATTGCTTTAACCATATAAAGATTTCCTCAGTTTGCATACCTTTCCTGACTCCCAATGAGCAACAAACCTCGGAGGTTGCTCCATGTAAACCTCTTCAAGAAGATCACCATGTAAAAAGACATTTTTTACATCAAGTTGGTGAAGAGGACAACAAGATGAAGCTATAAGAGAGATGAATAGTCGGATAGAGGTCATTTTAGCCACTGGGGAGAATGTCTCAGAATAATCAATACCACACATCTAGGCTTAACCCTTAGCAACCAACCGAGCTTTCAACCGAGCCACAGTCCCATCGGGATTAGCCTTTATTGTGAAAACCCATTTGCACCCAATAGCCTTTTTATTTTCAGGCAACTCCATTAGAACCCATGTATCATTATGTTCTGGAGCCAACATCTCTTCTTCCATAACCATTCGCCACCCATCATGAGTAATTGCTTCAAACACAGAGTTGGGAACAGACATAGAGTCTAAAGAGGCAATAAAAGACTTGGAAGAAGAAGACAAAGACAAAGAGTGATAGGAAACAAATGAGGAGATAAGATAGGTACAACAGCGCTTACCTTTACGAAGAGCAATGGGAAGATCATGATCATGGTTAGAGGAAGGAGGAACCGGATCCTAGGGCGAGGCAGTCGATAGAGGCAGTGGATCAGATGTTGCTGCAAGTGTCTCATGGTGCTGGTGAATCCTGCGAGAGTATACCTGGGTGATAGGAGGACGAGATGGTAGAGGACTATGATGGATAATGTTGTAAACTAGAAGATCATCAGGGGTGTTTCAAGAGAAGTAGATGAAGTGGATGACTCAACATATGGAGTGGTTTCAAAAAAGGAAACATCAGTTGAGATAAGGAAAAACAACAATAACCCTTTTGATATCGGGAATAACCCAAGAATATGCACTTGAGGGACCTAAGTCAAATTTGGATACATGAGGTCTAACATCTTGAACAAAGCACGTGCACCCAAACACTTTAGGAGGAAGAAAGAATAAAGGCTGTGATGGAAAAAAGGATGGAGAACGAGATTTGATCACCCAAAACAGAAGAAGGCATGCGATTGATCAAGTGACATGCTGTAGAGATAACATCTACCCAAAATTCTATATAGACTTTCATGTGAAAAAGGAGAGTACGAGCGACTTCTAATAAATGAATATTTTTGCGTTCAGCAACTCCATTTTGCTGAGGTGTATAAACACATGATGACTGATGAATAATATCTCTAGTAAATAGAAAGGAGGAGAAAGGGGCAAAAAAGTATTCTTTGGCATTATCACTTCTGAGAATTTTAATAGATGAAGTAAATTGATTTTGTATTTCAGCATAAAAGGTACAAAATATGGAGAACAATTCAGAATGATTTTTCATAAAGTACAACCAAGTTACACGTGAAAAATCATCCACAAAAATAACAAAATATTGATATCCAAACTTAGACAACATAGGGCAAGGACCCCAAACATCAGAGTGTATAACATCGAAAGGGGTTGTCGCTCTTTTGTTTATCCTAGGGCTATAGGGCACTCTATGGTGTTTTCCAAACTGACACATCTCACACTCAAGGTGTGACAGACCCTACACTAGGACACAACCTTTTCAAAATGGGAAGGAGAGGATGACCAGGGCGACCATGTAATATCGGTAGAGATGAATCACTGGTACATGCAACAGGTTGAGAGACAGGAATGGAGACATCATCGAGCATATACAGGCCACCTGATACACGGTCCTTACTAATAATCCGCCTCGTCCCAAGATCTTGAAATATACAATGAGTAGGAAAAAAGTAAACACCACAATTGAATGCATTAGTAATTTGACTAATTGATAAAAAATTAAAGGGAAAATGAGGAAGGCATAAGACAGAGGAAAGAGACATAGATTTGTTGAGATGGGCAGTATCACATCCAATAATAGGTGTGTAGTAGACCCGTTAGCTAAGGAAACCGAAGACAAATTGGGAGAAGGTGTAAATGAGGAGAGAATACATGTATCCCCTGTCATATGGTGGGTAGCACCAGAATCAATGACCCAGTTACTACTAGAAGTGGACAAACAGGCTGTAGCATTACCTAACTAGGTTAATGTAGTGGTAGTCGATGGGATGGATGACTGGGAGCAAGAATTCTGAGTGAGACGAGCATATTCTGCTGCAGAGATAGTAACCTGTGATGGGGTGGGTAAGAGACCATCTTGAGTTACAACATGAGCAAACTTCTAAGTGTCTTGCATATTCAGGGGCTTGTCATGGAGCTTCCAACAATTTTTTTTTATATGACCCTCAGCATCACAGTGAAAGCAAGTATGAGGGCCATTACCACAATTGTTCCTGGTATCACGACTTGTCCCTTTGTTACCTTTGCCATCACCAGACTTCATGCTAGCTAGGGCCGTATGATCAATATTAGGATTCTTAAAGATTTTTTTGTCCTTAGACACTCCTCGATCTTCCCCCTTACTAACTTTGAGAAGTCGAGTAAAGACATTCGTAAGAGAGGGAAGTGTCTCACCGATAAGAAGTTGTGTACGAACTATCTCATATTCCGGTCTTAACCAGCTAGAAAACATTACACTACCACTTGTTCTTCTTGTGCTTGCATCGTCTTCACATCAGTAGGGAAAGGAAACATAGCCTTTTTTTATTCAAAGGCTTGTTTTATCTCTGTATAATATTCGAGCAACGTCTTCTCTTGCATATTTGCTCGATAGATCTTCAATAACAATTCATGAGCATGAGACAGGTTTTGTTTACCAACATACAAGAACCCTAGATACTCCCATAACTCCTTGACTGTATCACAGTGATCAATCACATCATCCATGGATGAATCGAGAGTGTTCTGAATCTGATTGAAGAGCTTATCATCTTCCATGAGCCATTTTTTTCGAGTTTTATTATCATTTTCTGTTTCCTCAGGTGGATCCTCGATTAAATGGTCTCCCATATCAATGCTGGACACATATCGTCGGATAATCCGCTTCCATTGAATATAATTCCTTTTTCCCAATAATTTTCGATCAGTAATTTTGGTGAAAGAAGTGACAATTTCAGTCACCATCTTCTTACCGTCCTCTGCCATACTGTCCAGCAAATAACTCTTAACTCCACAGATCCACAACAATCTCAACACCAAACAACCCAAGCAAACACAACAACTCAAACAACCAGGATTCACAACAACTCTGGTATCACACCAACTCCAAGCCAACACAAAAGTATAGAGGATTACAAGTGGCTTACCGAATGATCAAACCTGTGGACTTTTGTTGTATAGATATAGCTTTACCTTCCTTCAACTTGAGGTTCCTCAGAATATTCTAATCAAAGCATGTCGCAAAGCATTCCCATTTTGACTAAAAAAAAAAAATGATTTACTGCACCAAACCAACAACAGAGAAGAGAGAAATGATTTACTGCACCAAACCAACAACAGAGAAGAGAGACTGGAACAAAATCAGCACTCGCTGGAAAAAAAGATAAACAAGGTCGTCGAAGATAACAAAGGTCGTCGGAGAATCAAGAACAACGAAGAACAGACTCAGACGTCGCTGGAAACAGAGAAGCTAAGGGCAGACGTTGTCGAAAAGAGAGAAACCATGGACAAAGACGTCACCGGAGATCGCTGGTCGCCGGAAAACAGAAACAGACGGAAGAGGTCGCCGGAAAATAGAAACAGAGGGAAGAACAAACTCAGACGTCGCCGAAAACAGAGAGGCTAAGGGCAAACGTCGCCGGAAAACAAAAACAAGCAAATGGGTTTAGGGTTTACGCGTCCAGGAGCTCTAATGCCATTTTCTTCTCTATATTTCTTATATTTCAATAGTTCAACCTAAACTCAAATATATACACACACTCAACAATACAAATAAACCCTTTACACTCTATATATACATAGTTTCCAACAGCTTGTTCTGAGTAAAAAAAGTAAAAAGGGTAAACGAACACATTATACACAAACTCCAATGAAACGAAAACGATAAATACATGAATGAACAACCACCAAGTCATTTGCTTTTTAGATTTTTCCTCAATATTTCTTCTTCACTCTCGTATGCAAGAATCAAAATCAACATATTAAATAGATCAATGTGATTGGTTTGGTTCGTATGCATAAGATTCAAAACTAACATATGAAATAGATCAATGTTATGGGTTTGATTTGTACATAGAATTTTGTACTTTGGAAAGTGACCTTATAAGGAATCTTGTCAAACTACTGGGGTTTCCTAGAATGACATTAAAAAAACTACTAAAAGGATGCTAGTGGAGTTCTTGGCATGACCTCTCTAATGCTTGAGTCAACAAAGTGATCTTGGGCGACAAAAATAAGCAAATATACAGTGTATTTTAGATAAACGTATGTGTCACAACTTAGCCTTTTGCTTCTAGTACTTTCTATAAAACCTTACCTTTGAACATGTAAAATTAGATTAGGTACATGTTCTGTATTGAATAATGAGCAGGTCCATGATTTGAGTGGCTTAATCATAGGCTAGGTGATTGGTAAATGGAGCTTTATTTGCTCCTCACTCTTTGAAATTGGGTGGAGGAGGCAAGTGGTTGTTGAGTGCAAAGAAAGAAAGACTGCTACTTTAGTTGCCAAGTGTTTGGACAGGTGTGCTACTCTTCCCAAGTGTAGGTGACATGTTTTATCATGAGTTTATTCTTGGTTTGGCTATTCAAATGTTATATTTACTTATGATTTCTTGAGGTTTTTGTACATTATATGCCTCTTGTGTTGGGTTGGGATTGTTTCATTAGGCCTGGATTTAGTGGCTTTTTACCAGTTTGACTAACTCTTTAAAACTTGTTAGGTTTTTCTAATTTTGGCCCGCCATTTTTGCCCATCAAGATGACTCTTTAGTGGACTAACTGGTCTTACATTTTATCCCCAACAAAGGTCCACGAGTTCCTTCATTTTGGGGATCATTTAAATAAGGAATTTAATATGGTGCATAATCTGAGACAAAATCGTTAAATTCAGCATTCAAACCAGGTTCAATTTAAAATATGAATTCGAAAAAGAGAGATTACTGGCCTAATTTATCTCATTATATTTATAGTAAAAATATGTATAAATCAAGAAATAGTTTATTTATAATTTAATCTAATAATGAGTCAACATTACTTTTATTTCTGAAAAATTCTTTCTTTTTTTCCCCTGAAAAATCACTTATTTTTAGATTTAAATCATAGACATAACTGTTCATTTGAAGAACAGAAAAAGAATGAGAAGCTCTCTATCTTCATATTCCGTTATCTCTTTTTACCATGGGATCTTTACCTTGAAATTTTTAGATGACCATGATTCAAGACATTTAAAGGACTTATATCTACTTAGCTTATCTAGTTCAAACTTTGTTCTTTTTGAAGTGCTTAGAGCAGCCTCTACTCCAGAAAACTTCATATTCTCTAAGTACCCTTACTTATTTTCTTCTTTTACTTCCATCATGTTGGACCCAACTAAAGAACTAGTTATAGTTCCTAAGATAAAAATTGAATCAGGGAGTAGACCTGAGTCTTCCGAACCAATAATGTATACTGAGTTTTCTAAGTAGTTCACTAGGATTCAACTGCATCCACCTACTCTTTCTGATCTAAAAAGTGATGTTATTTGTTCTAACTTTACCACCGGGTTGATACTACAAGGTCCCAAGCAAAAGTGAATACCTACAAATTGAATATAAGATGTCACCAAGGGTAACTTTTTGTGTTTTGTACCCAAGAGAGAGGGTTAGTGACCCTCCTAAGGGTGAGGTTTTGGTGCTACTTTCCAATACGTCTACACTTTGGCAAACTAGTTCTTGAAGACTAGATATTCAATTGAGTGATAGTCAAACCTAAGTTGATCCCAAAATCTTAGGAGCTTGAAGGGTTTTGTGGGGGTAAAATATAAGGCCAGTGGTCAAATAAAGAGCCTACAAGTTGAGAGAAAATGGCAGACTGGGAATATAAAGGCCCAATAGGTTTTCCAAGTATTAGTTAAGCTAAGCAAAAAGCTCCAAACTCAGCCTGAATGATATGATCTAAGTCCAATGTATGAAAATTATATCTTGGAAATCAGTCAAAAACCAAATAATAAATTCATGATAAACCATGTCACCTACAAATAAGGTCTGTCCACCTATCTAAACAACTTAACAATTAGAGCAGCATAGTCTTCTTGCACTCAAAAAACACTTCTCTAACTTTGTTACATTCATGAGAGTGAAGAGTGAGTAAGACTAATGTAGGCAGATAAGATAGATATAGGGTATTTAGTCTGTCTTTATGTATTTTAGAGTTTGTTTGTCTTTTAGGATTAAAAGTATATGCCCTTTTCTTTTACTATTTTCATCTAATTTGATTATTATCTCTGTCAATATAATTTTTAATCTCTTTCATGTTAAGCTATAAATAGACCTCCCATTTATGTAGAAATTAGTCATTGATGAATAATTGATAAAGTACTGTTTTTATGCATTTCTACCCAAGTCTTCTTCTGAATTCATCAACAACTACTTTCAACATGAATAGAAGGTCTATTTTTAGGCTAAAATGATTAATACAACAATCATTTTAATAGAGATAGCAATCAAATCAAATGAAAATGATTAAATAAAGACATCTAATCTTGATCCTAAAAGATAAATAAATACTAAAATATAAAAAAACAAAGATTAATTAACCCTATATCTGTCTTATTCATAAGGCTCCATCTATCACTCACTAAACCCACAAACTAGGCCACTCTAGTCAATTACATGTCGATTGGCCCAACAAGGAATTTCAGCCCTTTCCCTACCCTTGGAATATCCATTCCTCCCAAATTTGGGAGGAATGGGATTCCCCCATTCTGGGGGAATGAGCATTGCCTTGGAATGCCCATTCCCTCAAAACTTTGCTAAAGTAAACGGTGGAATGGGAGTCCACCATCCATTCAACTAAAGTAAACATGTGATTAGTACTAAATTCAGTCTATATCTCAAACCTGTCAGACACTTTTTCTTGTTCTAGACAAGCTACAAAAGTGATGCATATATGTTAAGCATTACTTTTAATCATTGATGCTGGAATACTTTGCTTCTTAATTTACCGTTCCTATTAGAAAATGATTGGATTAAGTCCTGTATTCAATGTTATTAAGCATAGCAAATGACAGGATACAGTGTATTTTAGGACTTCAGTGTATGATTTTTATTATATAATCTTCAATAATAGTACTGAAGTGTGTCATCTTAGCTCTGATGTGACCCTTGAAAGATCTTACGGAGGAAAACTTAATAGGCATTACTGAAAGACAAACCATATCATTACTATTGTTATTTCCATTCAAGGAGGTGATTTATGATTCTCACATTGTGGTAGCATGAACTTTCTAATTTGATTTCTGGATGTTCAATTATTTACAAAAAAAATTAAATTAAATGAAAAAATAAATAAATAAATAAAAACCTCATTTCGTCCATGTAAAAAGGTAAAAATATCAAAGAGATGTTTTGAATCATGAAAATACTTAGTATTTAGAGAAGTTACTGGAACATACTGTGCAAGGGGAGCATGGTATCATTTTAAGGAATTTATTCAGCAACTGATCACCCCATTTTGACAAAGTGTATGATTACAGAAGCAGAACATATGTGTACAATTTTAATAATTATACTCTTGCTTGTTTCTGAATTCTACGGTCTTCTGATTTTTCCCTGAAATGTGAAACTTCTCCTCAGCTTTGTTAATATGTTTGGCACCACAGTGCCATTAAAGTCTCTTTTGTCTCTTTTGCAGAGCTTTACACAAAGAGGATGTTTCAGCTATTGCTGTCTGCTTACTCAACAATAAGTGTTCAAGACACAGCTCTCTTTTTGGGAATGAATGAGGAGGATGCCACATATTGTATGATTCTATTATTCCTCACTTCACTTGCTCAGTAACACTAGCCATATGATTACATCTTTTATGTTTTTTATTGATGATGCTTGAGTTAGATATGATCCATTGATGCTTTGTTTAAATTATAATCTCACGGTTTTCTGAAAAACAGAAAACAATGAACTAAAAACACGATGCAGAGACACCAAAAGCCGACTTCATGTTTAACTGAAGAGAATGAGTAGATCATTTTTTGTAATCTCAGAACCTTCTTTTTAACAACGTATGAAAAGAAATGAGGTCCTAAGTCAGCATATCCTGAATAGATGGAGAAATTTCTCAAAAAGGCACTAGTTGACAGTAAGCTGGAAAGTTGTGAGGGTCAGTAAACTGACTAATATAAAACTTGAGTCCCAGATTCAGAGTCCTATTTCGTAATCTCAGAACCTTCTTTTTAACAACGCATGAAAAGAAATGAGGTCCTAAGTCAGCATATCCTGAATAGATGGAGAAATTTCTCAAAAAGGCTCTAGTTGACAGTAAGCTGGAAAGTTGTGAGGGTCAGTAAACTGACTAATATAAAACTTGAGTCCCAGATTCAGAGTCCTATTTCGTAATCTCAGAACCTTCTTTTTAACAACGCATGAAAAGAAATGAGGTCCTAAGTCAGCATATCCTGAATAGATGGAGAAATTTCTCAAAAAGGCTCTAGTTGACAGTAAGCTGGAAAGTTGTGAGGGTCAGTAAACTGACTAATATAAAACTTTGAGTCCCAGATTCAGAGTCCTAGTGAATGTCTCTAGGAAAAACAATGCAGTGACAATAAAGGATAAGGGCATTTGTAGAGATGATGTCATTTTAATATCTATTCTACATCTCTAATGTAAACTTCTGGAGTTTAATCCTCAAGACTTTTTATGACCATTCAGAGAGTTAAATACCAATCAGAACCCCAATGACAAATACCCAAGATAAATAATTTTCTGGGACAGTATCCATGGCCTCTTGTAAGGATCAAAGTATTGACATTGACTTGAATCAGTTGCTGAACCTCTTTTATTAATGATTTTAAGTTGGAGCATTTTCTAATTGAGGACATGAGGGCTGTTCTGGTACTATTAATGCATCATTTATGTTGCTCATTTCGTTCAGTCTATCTTGTGGGTTAAAGTCATTATACCTTGACTGAGAAGGCTTTTGTTTCTATGGTGTTGGTTTGAGCTCATGCATACTGTTGGCTTGCAGAGATGTAAAATCATTTCACATCCTAAACCGCTGATCTAAAACTAAATTAGTTTTGACCTGCTATAAAGTACTAGCCTTTGGAGAAAGATAGATATATGTTTGATTTTTTAAGTATACAGATAGTTGATTATATATTTTTATTTTCTGTTTCTTCATGCTGTACAATCATAATACAATATGCTGTATGAATCATGGTGTTTCTTGCACTATCTCATTGCATTGGTAAGACTTTCAACAAAAAATTCTGGATATAAACTTCTTATGTTCCTTTAGTTGCATTAAATGCTAAGCCTTCTGCACTTGAGCTTGCCAAGAAGTCCCTCTTTTATAGATCTGTAAGCTACACGGTTGTTCATATGCAGCCATGGTTAGGCAACTAAGCAAATTATGTATAATGGCTTATGGTCTCATAGTACTCAAATTTGGTTTAGCATATTGGATTGGCTAATATTAATCTCTTTATTCAGCTTTTTTTTTATTTTTTTCACAAAAAGGATTAAGAAAAGTTTGACATTTTTGCGTTGCGCGTCAATAGCAAAAATCTGCACAGTTGAACAAACTTGACTTTTTCATAGGTGATTGAAAAAATACTCGTATATTGACACTACGTGCCAATGTGGTTTTTTCATTTGATGCAGATGTAGTACAGCAAGGTTGGATTTTGGACCCTGCTTCTCGAATGCTTACTGTGAAGAAAAATCCAATTGTAACTGAGCAGAAACTAGATCCCAACAAACTGCAGCGCTTGACTGAATATGTGTTCCACCTTGAACATTAACTCTACAAATATGATTGAAACCATGGGCTGTGAATCTCTAGTGAAACGGACTCCTGATTTTGGATCTCTAGTCGAAGAGAGTAAATGTTTTGAAGATGTTCAGAACCCGGATCGATAGCTAATAAGCTTAATATAATTTCGTGATTTTATTCTCATTCTTTTTAGTTTTTTGGAGTTTTAGTGTTGATCACTTCATAATTGAATTAGCTGCAACTGCTACTGGAATTTCATTCGGTGTATTTCCGAAATTACAGCATAGATCTAGTCAAGTTAGTAACTGAATGGAGAGTTGATGTCACTGTAAAAGCTGTGCTGTGAACAAATTATAAATCAGAGGAAAAAAGGCTAGCCTGGATTTAGGGTGTCATAAATTAATGGGTACTAGCCACTTGAGTTTTATTGGATCTTTGGGATTTTAAAAGAGAATTTTTGGAATTATAATTAGTTTAACTCAGGATTTGAGAGGACTGACTATTTAATTGTCATAAAGGTGTGAGAATTGAGATATAGATAAAAATAATTAACTAAAAAACAATCAAATAAAAAAGGTGGAAAAATTTAGATTCAATTTGGAGTCGTTTCTTTCAAATACGAATGTTCAAATATGGAATGAAAGTGATTCTATTTTTAATTATTTTTAAACTCAAAAAGGGATATTAGGCCTCACAGAGATGGTCTTAGAAGGTTATATTTTGTGGATAGTTGATCTACACGGAGAATAAAATCATCTGTAGTCGTTTGTAACGGAATAAAATCATCTGAGGAAATTTGTCTAGGAATATGAGTACAATGAGTATTTCGGGAGTCAATTGTAAGAAACAAAGCACCTGTAGTCGTTGGAAGTGGAAGATCAAGAACATGGTCTTGAATCCGCCATACCATCTGGTAGTGTAATGTAGCAGCAATATTGCCAGGATTCAATTAAGCTCCAGTGATCTGTAACTGAACCTTGAGGGCTTTTGAGCAGTGTATGTTTGAGAGTAACATATTGAAATTAAGAAACAGTGTCATGATTATTGTTTAGGCATTTAAGGTTGTTTGCACAGTGACGATGCAAGCATGTTGGTAACGAACAAATCTAGTGCCTAGTAAAGCAATTTGGACAGAGACTAGGAGACATTTTCTACGATGATAAGACAGAGCAAGTCTGATTGCACCAAAGTGCATATGAGAGTATCGTTCAAGAATCCATTGAGAAATGGATGCTTGAAGGATTTCCAAGGTCAGTAGTAGGAATCTGACATTTATCAAGGCAAGTGGTCTTCACATATTTTTTAACAGGCTTTCTAGATGGCTTAACAAGGGTCTTAAAGGTTATGGATAGGGAAGTGACAGTTTTGGTGAAAGCAGTGTATGGATTTACAAATAGTAACCTGGATTTTTTGGTTTTCTAGGATATAAGAGATTTCATAGAGATAATATGTATTAGAAACAGAAGAGGGACTAGGGGATGTACTGACAGGAGCAGTAAACATAGATAAAGAAGTAGATGATTCCATAAGTTTAAAATTCAACCTAGCCAATGTGTAACTCAACCGTAATTAGCAAGAATAGATAGAGACCAAAAAACGTGTAAAAACAAAACTAAGTTGGCAACAACACTAAAGATCTAGATACTTGTTGAAAAGGAATTGGAAACCTTGAGGCTCAGATATTAAAAAGGGTTACTAGGCCTCATAGAGATGGTCTCAGGAGGTTACGCTTGTGGGAAACTATGATAGTCAATCTATATGGGACAAAGATGATCTCAGAAGGTTATACTTGTAGAAAACTATGATAGTCGACCTATATGGAGAATGTCGTTTTACATGGAGATCGGTTGTTCTTAGTCAATGCCTTCTTCTCAATATTTAAATATTTATTAAAGCCCAATATTTAAAAAAATGATTATGTGTTTTAAGAATTTTTTTTGATAATTTTAAAATGCATTTAACTTAACATGTGCTTTTCGGGGACATATTAAGAATAGTAATATACAAAAAATTTAGCATATCAATATATTACAAATTTTCATTTTTGTCTTTTTACATATTATATGGATTTAAATAAATAAATTTTTTTATCTTCTAATAGTTGTAAGGCATGCCCGAAAGAATGCTTGATAATTAAAAAACTAATGTAGTGATTGTAATTATAAATTACTGTACATGCAAAATTCTACCATTATGGAAAGAGAGACTGATCCCGTGAGGTTGAGGCCACCAGCGATCTATTACACCTGCACACGTGAGAAAACAAGCGTGAAGGAGACGGAAAACCGGGGTGGTGTTTGCCGTAAGCACTTGATGCTTAAGTCAGCAAGGCTGAGTGAGGCTAGTTTAGTGAGGGTTAGGGAAAGGAAAGGTTACCGGAAGTCTAGTCGGGGACTGTGACTACGGTTGTAATGCGAAGTTCTTAAGTGGGAACTCCAGGGTCTGAAGGTGTAATGTCTCTGTCCTTTGTGAGAGGGCCGACCTCTGTTTAAATAGTGACTATATGGTCATTGAATCCTGGTGGGACTGGGAGTCTTTGTAGTGGTAGTCCTCGCAAAGGGTGTAGCCTTTGACTCCCTTATCTCAACAGGAAAGGGAGTTCGAACGTGCCTCAGATACGAACCTTGGAAGAGTTGGGATAATAATTGACTTCCTTAGCAGAGTTTAAGTAGGAGTGTAGTTCCAAAAGGTGTTCTAGGATCAGAAGGCCTGAATCCAGTTGGTGAGGGGCTGGGAAAGCATACCGCATGGGCCTCATCTATAGAACTTTGATTTGAGCCCCCTCAGAATTGGGCCTGAGCTTTCATCTTTGTTGGAGGTGTCTCTGACTTTGGGCCTATTTGGAACGAGGACATTTTTTTACCCTAACAGTTTGCCCCCCACTCTTTGAGTTAAGGTGTGCTTAGCTTAGAGAGTAGACTGCTTGGAAATGACCCTGGTCGGCCTTTGCGACCGACCAGTCGAACTTATGAATGTGTAGCTTCTCTGTTCCCTGGAATGAATGGTGTAAGTTCTTGTTGTCGGCGGGGAATTCGGTACGCCGGTGTACTTAGGCGAGATGAAACATAGTCAGAGACTCGTTTGGTACATCAAACCAAGTGGAAAGGTAAGTTGTCCATAGGACATTCGTCTGGTGCACTAAGATGCAGGGAAGCATGAAAGAATTTGCACGAAATCTTTTCACTCTATCTCACCTCCCGAGCGAAAAGATGGGTGAATCCTCCCATGACAATGTTTCCGTTCGGTATGCTAGGGCAGATGGCTATTTGATTTATCCTCTGGAGTGACTTGACTCAGTCTATCTAGCCGGGTGAGTGGGCGTGTTGAGCTATATCTTAGGAGCGCGCTCGCTCGGTGCTTCTTGCTGAGCAGGGTGCATTATCTTCAACTAGGTGGTAGTACCTTAGGCTGGTTGGTTGAATTCGAGCGGAGGGGTGTATGTGAGCCTCACATCGGGGAAACCTGCTCATTCGGTCGGGGTGATCGAGTAGCAAAGTCAAGGTTTCGCTAAGCAGTATTTGGTGTGAGGTTGGAGAACCAAGGCTGGGTAGTCAGTAATAACGATGGTAACCTCGCTCACTCGGATGGACCAAGCGAATGGTTACCTTTCGGGAGCGGGGCACAACTGGATAAAACATCTCTCAACAGGTGTACGATCGAGGTGCTGTCTGAATTCGGGCGGGAAAATCAAAAGATCGCAGTTCTCAATGACCAGTCATATGATGCCACGTGTTACCTCTGATAAACTTTGCGCTGATAAATATGTGGGGGTGCGACTGCTCGTTTCATCTCCCATTTCCTTTTCTTTTACTTCGTGTTTTTCTCTGAAACTTGGGTTCTCTTCACAGCTTCGAAGGATTCCGGGATTTTGGCCATTCCTACGATAAAAAACTCCTTCCTTTATGCTCTTTTCTATTTAGTTCCTTGTTTTCTTCGTTTCTGTGGTGTTTTTTTGGGGAGATTGAGCGAGAGTTTGGGAAGTTTTGGTGGCTTTTGAAAGGTTTTGCCTGAGTTTTTGGAGGTGCCGTGTTTTATTTTTAGAACAGGCTTGAATTTTGGGTTGAACGAAAAAATAAACGGAAAAAATTCTCTCTTTTTTTTTTTTTTTTTGTTGGTGGTTGACGGTGGTTTTCCTGGGGTTTTTCGAAGATCGAGTCGATTTATACTCGTTTCTCGTTCGGCTCACCTCGGTCAGCCTAACCGAGTTGAGTGTGCATTTGTCTAGGATTCTAAAGTCTGGTAGTCTTTTTGGATCGACCGGTCTTCCAAACTGAGTGGTTGGTGGTTGAGGCTATGTCGGTGTTCTGTCGTCCGGGTCTAGTAAAAGTTGGGATAGAAGTTCGAAGTATTTTGGTGTTTGATCAGTCGATCGGTGGCTTGGGGCAAGTGGAGCACACGAGAATAGTTAGATTTTTGGAATTTCGATCGGTGGACGAGGCGAGAAGGGATCAGGCAGTGAAAAGTCTTGAAGAGGGTTGGTCGGTTGGTGGTGCGAGGCGAGCGGTGATCTGACAGTGCAAGGTTTTGTAAAGGGTAGGTCGGTTGGTAGTGAGGGACGAGCGGTGATCAAGTACAAAAAAATTTTGAAGGGAGTAGGTTGGTCGATGGTGAAGGATGAGCGGTGACCAAGTAGAAATTTTTTTGTAGGGAGTAGGTCGGTCAGTGGTGAGGGACGAGCGATGATCAAGTAGAAAAAATTTTAAAGGGAGTAGGTTGGTCGGTCGGTCGGGGAGAGTGAATAGGTTGAACAATGTCTGGGTCAGGGTCCAGTAGTTTGAGTGGGGCCGAGGCAGAGGTCGGGAATGAATATGAGAATGCCCTAACCATGGTGATGATGCCCGAAGGTGGGGGCGTTTCGGTCGGTATATCGACCAGGGTGAACGTAGTTGCCCCTAGGATGAGTGGGGCTAACCCGAGTGATGACGAGTCTGACAGGCAAGGGGGGAGTGGGGAAGACTCCGATGGAGTTGGTGATTTTGATAGTTTATCCTCTATCGGTCGTGGCTCTGAGGATGAGCCGAGTCGGCTAGGTGGTGGGATACTGAGCCGAGTTAGCTAGGTGGTGGGATACTGAGCCGAGATTATCTGCCCTTATTGAAGGACAATGATATGTGGTGGATCCAGACAGTGTATCATATTCTGGAATCCATTGAGATTAGGGCGCCTCAGTCGTACGA